TCACGAGCCAGAGTGGTCCTCGAGCGGGCGCCAATAACGTCTCCATTCGTCCCTGTCACGAGCCAGAGTGGTCCTCGAGCGGGCGCCAATAACGTCTCCATTCGTCCCTGTCACGAGCCAGAGTGGTCCTCGAGCGGGCGCCAATAACGTCTCCATTCGTCCCTGTCACGAGCCAGAGTGGTCCTCGAGCGGGCGCCAATAACGTCTCCATTCGTCCCTGTCACGAGCCAGAGTGGTCCTCGAGCGGGCGCCAATAACGTCTCCATTCGTCCCTGTCACGAGCCAGAGTGGTCCAGTGAATCGTCCTCGCTTCAGGGACACGAGATTCAACATTCCTTTCGTTCAGAGCTTTCGTGAAGACGTCTGACCATCTCGTTGGCGTGACCATTTTCTTTATCCTTACCCAATTAGTCGCTCTACTCTCCACATTCAAATAGTGTGGAGAGTAGAGCGACTAATCGGGTAAGGATAAAGAAAATGCGTGAAGAATAAAGTGACCGGATGGTTAAGGATAAAGAAAAGGCGTTTAGGCGCTCTGTTATGTAGGTGAGAAGCACGGAGCGAAAGTCAAGAAAATATCTAGCACTGATGTTAATGCTCCTGTAGATGAAGTGATTTTTTTTTTGGAAACATGGAGCCAGTGAAACCTGGAAAGCTTTGGCTAAACTGCAAGCATATTTTGCTTTGGAAGGAGTTTAAGGTCAGATAGAGTGAATATAGTGGTCGCGTTGTTGTTGCTAACTTTTCATTGAAAGCTCACAGTCTGTCGAACCTGGATATGTGTGACTGAGTAGCACACTATCTATTTGTTTTTTGCTGATGATCAAACGGAATCGATCAATGTATGGCTCCTTGGAAGCCGACTCAGTGTATACGCTCGACTCCTGTCTATTCAAATAAACGAAAAATCTACATTACAAGTCCATAGATTGAATGATGACTAAAGTTTTACATTTCTAGAAAAATTGTTGCATTAGCTCTGCTTCGACAGTTTTAAGGACTTAGCATTTAAGAGACGCGTTGCTCAAAGGCTTAGTTCTCCACAGAAATAGGTTCTGGGTTTTCCTCCTAGCTCTCAAGGGTAACGCAAAGGACGCCTTTGTTTTGAAGAACGGACTGTATAGGGTGTAATAAGAGCCCAACAGCCGGCTTAGCCGCCATACACACTCAAGGCAATGCAATCAGCTAATCGTGAGTGAAGAAATGCTTTACTCTGATTCTGTTATTCTCTCTCATTCTTTTCGGCTAGTAGCGCCTTACTTCATTTTTAGTTTTCTACATTTGGCGGATAAGGAAGGTGGATTGTTTTTGCTGTAATTGTTTTTGTTATCATATTTCAGCTGATTTTGAGTGCTCTTGTTGGAATAATTTCGTTTTTTTTTTTTNTGTAATTGTTTTTGTTATCATATGTCAGCTGATTTTGAGTGCTCCTGCTGGAATAATTTCGTTTTTTTTTGAAATCGATTTTTTCGATGCGGTGTCCCTGTGTTTTCCCTGTTTAATGCCGAGAACGCTCATAGACCTTGTATCGCAGTGCGTTGATTCATTCTAAATTGTTTTTTGCATGCATTCCACGTCTCTCGCGTGGGATTCCTTTCGTGGTCGGTGACGGTTGAAAATCTTAGTTGTTACTCTTTCTATTTTACTTTTCTTCATTATGGAGTCATTGAGTGTTCTTTTAAATTATTAAGAATACTGTGTGATCCTGTATTGAGAACTTTATTTCTTCCGAACTATAAATTCCCATGGTCATGTCGAAATACTCCAACAAATACTTGCATGGTTAGTCTTATATGAAATTTTTTTATACGTTAGCCTTTCCCTTTTATATCTCTATCTCTCTTTGAAATTTTTTCTTTCATATTACTTATTTATTTATATTGTTATTGATGTGCCCTTATTAAGTGTCAAAAACCCTATTCGAGCTTATTTTGAGAAGTGTTTTTCTTATCAACTAATTATTTCATGCGTACCTCGCGTGGCTCCTCGGACTCCATGCTTGGTGAGTGTTGTGTGGAATATACTACTCGTCACTCTATCTTTCTTACATCTTCTTCGCTACGATGTGTTTAATATGCTTTTTTATACTTGTTAAGATTGACCTCTGTGACCCTGTTTTGAAGAAATATGTTCGCTTTAAACTTGATTTCTCTCTGCATACTTCGCATGTCTCGCGGACTTTCTTCATTGGTGAGTTTTATTGCGAAATTTCTAGTTATTGATCTGAGACAGATCATTAATTTCATGGTAGATCGCTGCATACGGACATGCGAAACAAGGCTAGCCCATGTTTCATCCAATTATGTTCCACAGTACTTGTTAATCTTTTCTATTAACTATATTATTAATTTTTTGCTGACCTACCTAATCTTACTGATTTTTTCTCTACTAATCTAATGTAGGTAAAGCACATCGAATTTTGTCTAGTGATTTCAGAAACAATAGTTTACGTTTGGTTTGAATAATAGTTTTAGTTTAGTAATAGTTCATGATGTTGCGGAAAAATACTGCTTGAGGCTATCGCCAATTGTGCATCATCAGCGCTTCACCAAAATACATCTTGACCATCCTTCTGGCATAAGCTAGCCATCTGAAGGTGCAGCGTGCGCGCAGTCTGTTTGCGTCTGCGATGAAATGAAAGAAGTAGGTTTGTCGCCAGTTCGTTGTACAGGCGGTAGGTAAACGAACAAGCTCAATTTCTTCTGGCTGAAATGACAATGGTTGGAAAACGAGTTTTTATTCTGAGATCTTACTGCGCACGGACGCACAGATTATGTAGCGAATGATGACATCCAACAAGACTTATTGTCTGCACTGAACGGAGTGGCAGAAGTAAGAACCTAAATTGTATCAGGCTGTTCTTTGAGTGAGTGACCGACTACAACCAGGGAGCGGTAGCAGTCACTACTCGACAATGTAGCTATTTCCTCTACAACGCCCTGAAATGTTTCTATTCAACAAATATGTGGCCAGTAACGGAAGAGGTGGTACAAGTGCAAGTGCAATGTTGTTCGTCATACCGTATAGGTTGGGGTCAGGAAAATGAAAGAGTGAGTGGATGTGACGCAGGGGAGGGAACACTCGATCAATGTGAGTCCCCAATGCCTATTTCCGAAGAACGCCAGGAATGTGGACTGCACTGTGATTCCATGGAAGTGAATCTTATACTAATCGAAAGAAATAACTCATAACAACCACATACTGTAAGAATTCACATTCAAGTTTAGCTGATTGGATGCGCGATGGCGAGTGAGTGTGTCGCCCAGCAAGTAGGTCTTCTCTGGGAAAGGCTGACGCAGTTTGTCAGGCCAGTGCTTTCTTGTTAAAGATGGGAAGCTCTTGAAGCTTCTCCAACTCCGCCCTCGATACGGACCCAAGTTGCCGGGGGTTCGCTCAAAGGCCGTCAACACTGATGCGGTCGTCAATTTTACCTGCAAGGGATATGGTGCAGCTGAACCGAAGCAGTGGAAGAGCGAAACGTTCCCCATCCGCGTTAGCTTATGTATAAATGGATTGTGAAGGCATCGGCATCGGCATACCAGCCCAATGATGTTGAATTTCGATGGCGATTGATGCGGTGGGTGCAGGCCCCTAGCCTTCATGTCAAGTCAGTCACAACGGACCGTAGCAGAGCTCTGGGAGCGTTGCTGCGAGAAATGGAACCTGAGATAGCGGCCATTCGTCATCAAGGTACCTGGCGCAGTGGCTTCGCAATGTATTGAGAAAGGCGCAATCACTTTCTCTGAATCTCTTCATTTTGCTCGTTTCTTCGACGTCCTCCAAATTGGGTGGATGCGGAGGAATAGGCTTATGGATTGAGAAATTGAGGACACATCTGTGCCATCATCTCGAATACGATGCCGTCAATGGGACCGGCATCCAGTCCACCTTCAGTAGATGTCTAGTGCACGTAAAAGATGTCCAACTGTGGCCAATGGTGCATTTCTTCGTGACTATTATCTCTTCTGCTTCACGAGCTATTTGCACGGCGCACTGACCGGTCCCGAAACTCGGCGCTCACGCACCTTTAGAGGATGTACGACACGAAGGCTTGAATGTCAGTAGTTAGGCTTATTAAGAGCTTTCGAGTGTCATCCTAAACAAATCTTTCCGAAGGGACTTGCCAAGAGCTAGTTCTTGTGGTGGTACTTCCACATGTGAGGAAAAGAATGCACTGGATAGAAAGTATTGCCGACAAGTTATATTCTATCCGCAATCGCAATGGTGGTCATACTGCATATCGTCATTTTGTGGTTGGCTGAACTTAGCGAAGAGAGGGAAGCGGTTAAGACTCGAGCGATCTAGCGGAAGTACCTTACAAGGAAATCTGAACTGGATCTCAAATCTTTAGCGGGACATTCATAGAGGGGATCAATTTCCGCTGATGTGCTCAGGGGCAACTCATAGTTTTGCAAGAAAAGCATCACGAAGACTTTACTGAAGATATCACCGTCAGTAAAGTCTTTGTGGGACGGTGATAGTCGCAGACGATAACTACGAGTGTGTGCTTAGCAGCGACCACGTTTCTCATATAAAATTAGTTCACACGAAACTATAAGATGTCATTCTTCGCATTCAGTAATTCCGCTACTGGCAGATCCCTATAGTAATCTACGGACCTATCGGTAGCGGAATTAATAATGTCATGTTGCGAGCGGATGTTATGCCTCACCTTAGAACCGACCTCATTTTCACTCGCGGAGGGGCATGCTCCCATTATGGCCGCTCTTACGCAATCTGAAGGCTCAAGCTTCCTACCCATGCCAAGGCGTCCAAAACAGCACCAAAACAATAAGCTGTATGCGCAGTAACAGACGCACTTAGACATACATAGTAATAAACATTGAATCATCCTCGACATCCAAACTTACTCATATTCTTCTTAAGCGGACCGCTTCTCTTTTTTTTTNTTTTTTTTTCAAACCTCATCTCTATCATGACGCCAAGTACGTACGTGACCTATACACTCTCGGAGATCACTGTGAACTTCCTAGAAACTGTTATTTCACCTTGGGATCTAGCACGAATTTATGGAATGACAAATGGTGAATGATGTTGTGTCTTGATTCCCTGACCTTCTTTCGGAATCCCATCACAATCCCGTTCTCAAAATCTGCACGTCCACCAGCCCCATCCTCCTCGAGGTCCTCCCTGCAGCAGACCTCGCGCACCATAGTGAACAACACGCACGAAGGCATATCCCTCGATTGCAGAGGGTAAATCTAAAACACTATGCAACGAGGATTTACTTATACTACTCGACGCATTTCTGTTATGCAAGCCTCACATCTCTTTTCTTTCAGCTCATTTGCGACCAGCCTTCTCCTCCTTTCTGAGCGCACGCAGTACAACTTCACGATCGGGATTCTCTATCACTATAGGGCAAGGATGTCTTCATTAGTCGACATCTGATAATGAAGCTATCAAATCCATAACAACGTCATGATTGATAATCCTTCTTTCTTTTCGTCTTCCTTCTGCCGGCGGCACCCGCTCCTTTGGTGACATTTCCTGTACTTCTAGTTTATAATATCTTGTGTTATACTTATTATATTATCATAATTATGCAATCTATTATATATATATTCTCCATATCTATTTATCATGCATATTTACCATTAGGATCTGTTACTAGCACGGGTTTATCGCGCCTAGTCACTTAAATCCAACAATAAGGCCATTTATCAGGTTCTATACCTCATATCACTCATGGATTGTTTTACTGCCCCAGTTGTTCTTTATTTTCAACAGAAGTAAGCATTTTTCAGAGTTGTTATAAATATCTTCTCAATGAATTGTTATGTAAATTGGTAAATTGTATGTGTATTAAAAACTGCATGTGTTTCTTTTTTCACACAGCTTTTGTCGTGACATTGTCTTCCGATCTATATTTTAACCACTTTTCTAAAGCCTTTTATTCCTCTAGAAGAACCGATTCTCGTTTTTCCTCTGCTGGCATCGCACTATTCTCGACCTTCCCTTCTATTACTCGTCTTGATCTGGGTACCTCAAAATTTTAAGGAATTGTGCCTTTAAATAGGAAAACTTTAAAAGCTTTATCATCCGTTCACTTCGCCTTGGAGGATGAGTTTGAAAGTAGCTCAACAAATGGTGTCTGAANAGCTTTTGTCGTGACATTGTCTTCCGATCCATATTTTAACCACTTTTCTAAAGCCTTTTATTCCTCTAGAAGAACCGATTCTCGTTTTTCCTCTGCTGGCATCGCACTATTCTCGACCTTCCCTTCTATTACTCGTCTTGATCTGGGTACCTCAAAATTTTAAGGAATTGTGCCTTTAAATAGGAAAACTTTAAAAGCTTTATCATCCGTTCACTTCGTCTTGGAGGATGAGTTTAAAAGTAGCTCAACAAATGGTGTCTGAAATAAAGCATATTAAGGGTAATAACTATTGTTAGACAGCACAACAATTAAAGCTGGTCGTTTGTAAAAGCTAAACAAATGCTGCAAATCTGAATAGGGCTATATATCTGTCAGGCGTTACCTATTCATGATCTGTTGTTCGTGATCTTGAGATACTCGAAAACCATCCTGCTCGGATCGTAGCAATGAACACAGCAAGCGGAACAGGCTATTATGGTACACATGAATGTCAGTGGAAACAGTGATCATATCGGCAATAGTGGATACGATGATGAGGTTGGCAAGGAAACATAAGTGACGTTAGTGCGGCTAAGCTCTGCTAGTCAGAATGTATCAGCCTACAGTACCACTAATGTCCTCTTGCCTTCGATGAAATGTGTCGAAGTATTATAAACCACGGTGACAGATTACTTTTATTACGACTCAGGAAGATAGAAAAGAAATTCTTTCCAGATGGAGCAGATACTCGCCTTTCTTTTTCGTGATGCCAAACATATTTTTCTTCACGCGTTGACTTTTGGATGGAATGCCAAAAGCGTACCATGCCTTTAATATCGGACGTGAATTCCCAAAAGAAGGTAGATCAATCTCAATCCTCTTCGATTTTCTCATTTCGTCCGAAAAGATAATGTTACGCTTCATGAGAAAATAGCGCTTTTTGCCTCTCTCCATAGATCTTTTCAAGATAAACAGTTGTTCTGGAATTTTGCGACCTTTTCCGCCGATATTTCAGAAGGAGACACTTGATATCATTCCTGAAGTACGCATCAATAGAAAATTTTCGGCAGTCGCAAAATTTCTTTGGCATGGAACTGAC